TACAGTTGCAGTACGAGCTTTATTGAGCCCAGGTTTTAAAATGTGTTTTTAAAACAATTCTTTTTATGATACCTCATAATTAAAGTTCAGTGAACAAGTCGAGTGATAACAGGGGAGTTCTGGTTTGTTTTATGAGGCAATACTCTAGTTCCTGAATGGATGAACCGGGGGACCTTTCTCTTTTATATGGGAATTGGGTAATTGCTGGAAAAAACAGAGTCATGCTCCTCTTGTTAGTGTACCATAAGCTTTTAAAAATAAAGTAGCTGGACTCTCTCTAATAGTGACTTTCATGGATATGCTGGTTCCCGAAGTTGTGACCTGTGGGCCTCCGGAGTAATAACCTGGGTCCAGCTCCAGCCTCCACAGCTGGTTTATCTGGCTGCATCTGCCCAGACTTCTGAATCCAAATGCTCAGGAGGTTGGAGGGGATTAGAGATCCTTTGCAACTCAGATGCACTTCTAATTAGAAATGACATACCAAAAAACAGTTTCTAGGGAAGGAAATGGAAGCCTAAAAGCAAAATGAAATTAAAGGTCAGTCTTCAACTTAGCGGGCTGATGCGGAACACGAATTTAATAATAAAAAAATCCACTTTGAGGAGGAAAGAAAAAAAATCAAAATTACTAGATGGGTAAAAGACAGAATGGCTTAATATGTAACAGCATCCTCTGAAATATAAGGTTTGGGGACAGTGTGAGTTCAACAGCTTCTAAAAAAACAAATAGAGCTAATAGTTGAAGGGCACTGGAAGAGTGACTAGCTATACTTAGAGGCATCTACTGTGAGGTAAAACAGCAGAGGAAAGTAAAATATTATAGAGAATCAAATTCTGACAATACAGAGTTTTTTAAAAGAACAAAGTAAGAAACCTACCTACAGAATTTAATTTGAATCATTCTTCCTTGTAGCTTTTAAGGAAACCCAGTACAAATTCATACTCTCAATTCAAGCTTAATCAGATGATTTCATAGAATCATAGAATCATAGAATCACTAAGGTTGGAAAAGACCTAAAAGATCACCCAGTCCAACCGTTCACCTATTCCCAATAGCTCCTACTAAACCATGTCCCTCAACACAACATCCAGTCTTTCCTTGAACACCCCCAGGGTCGGTGATTCCACCACCTCCCTGGGCAGTCCATTCCAGTGCCTGACCACCCTTTCTGAAAAGTAATACTTCCTCATGTCCAGCCTGAATCTCCTCTGCCGTAGCTTGAAACCATTCCCCCTGGTCCTATCACTAATGACACGAGAGAAGAGGCCGACCCCCAGCTCACTACAACCTCCCTTCAGGAAGTTATAGAGAGCAATAAGGTCTCCCCTGAGCCTCCTCTTCTCCAGGCTGAACATTCCCAGCTCCTTCAGCCTCTCCTCATATGGCCTGTGTTCCAGACCCCTCACCAGCTTTGTTGCCCTCCTTTGAACACGTTCCAGGGCCTCAATATCTTTCTTGCAGTGAGGGGCCCAAAACTGGACACAGTACTCGAGGTGCGGCCTCACGAGTGCTGAATATAGGGGAACAATCACCTCTCTGCTCCTGCTTGCAACACTGTTTCTGATGCAAGCCAGGATGCCATTGGCCTTCTTGGCCACCTGGGCACACTGTCGGCTCATGTTCAGCCGAGCATCAATCAATACCCCAGGTCCATTTCCTCTACGCAGTCCTCCAGCCACACCGCCCCAAGCCTGTAGCGTCGCCTGGGGTTGTTGTGGCCGAAGTGCAGGACCCGGCATTTGGCCTTGTTGAAACTCATCCCATTGGCTCCAGCCCAGCTCTCCAGCCTGTCCAGATCCCTCTGTAGGGCCTCGCTACCCCCAGATTTATTAGTTTTTTTAAAATATTTCTTGTTTCTTTTTGACATTTCAATAATACTGTTTTCCATACCTTTACTGCTGTTAGTTTGGAGAGCTTTTAGATATCAAACATTTAAGCAGGCTTTAAGTAAGCCTGAAGTGAACAGAACATCTTTATTTACCGTCATTTTCCTTTAAGCACAATTCAGTCTTCCTTTTACAGCTGGTGCAGCAGCATTAATAAATTCTGAATTCTCTGTATTCAAGACAAAGCTGCCCAATATTTTGGTTATCTTGGGGAGGGGAATTTCTTAGCTCTTGTGCTAAGCCACAGGCTGCAGCCTCATGAATGTTTTTGCTGCGGCAATTTGCAGGCAGGGCAGATAGCCAGTGAGAAGTGGTGAGTGCTTCTCATGGTATGAAACAATACATGAAGACTTTCCAAATCAATTTAACATTTACCAGGAACACTGCTGGCCACATCAATTTAAGAAATTCTGGCAAGCAGGAGATTATATTGCATGTCGATGATGTGTCTACTCTTTCCCTGTTCTCGGCAACCCCTTCCACAAGACCCCTGTGGTGAGATAGAGGCAGAGGGGTTTGTCTTTTCACAGTCTCTAGTGGTGGTGTGTGACTGGGGAGGGCCAGGGAGAGGACAGCCACACAAGGCTTCATGGCAAGTCACAAGTCACCTCCTGGAAAAATGCTGACCTTGGGCCTGTGGTCTCATCTTGAGATGAGAGGCCATGGGAGAAGAGGCTATGGGGAAAGAGGTGGGAGCTGGGATAGCCAATAAATGTTGCTCTATAATGTGGATCTATGTGGATGGAAGCATTGATTCTTGTCCTCTGATCAAGCTAAACTCACTAAAAACTTTATCTCTTAGGCAGAATCATTCCTTTTCTCTCCCTGAAATCTCCTTCAGGCTTTTTTAGTCAAATACACATCTTGCACTCCTGTACACTGTTATGATTTTCCACAGTTTGCCAGATTTGTGCTTCTGAGCAAAGTGAACTTCCACTGAGAAGTAGTGGTGTAAGTGGCTGCCCACTGCCAAACAAAGAAGCTGCTGTACTTCTGGTGGCCACGTCTAGGGAAGGAGGTGGCATGACTAGACCCAAAAGTGAAATGGGAACTGAGGTCAGCTGATGCTCTGCAAGATGAAAAAAGGAGACATCTGGAGAAGTGGAGAGGCAGGGGCTGTGCATAGAAGGTCCAAAGCGTGGGAACTGCAGAGATCAGGCAGAAAATACCCTGAGATTTCTGGGGGCAGTTTTCTAATGGATTTTATCTCTGAACTGTAGTGGAGCAATCTCACACTACTGCATTAGGGGTGACATAAAAATCTCAGCCAACTGCATCAAGTGCATTTAAGATATTTTGAGGAAATACAGTGTAGAAAATAATCAGGAAAATGGATAATAATCAGAAATTCATTTACTGTTTATATGTAATACCTAACTTGCTGGTGTGCTTTGCTGCATAGAAAATACAGCCCTCTAGATACCTGTGCTATTCCTAATCATCCAAACCCTGAAAATATCAACAAATACAGAATCAGTCAGAAAAGACTTGATTTCCAGACCTTAACCCTTAATCTTATTTCCTCCCTTCTTCTCACTATCACTGCAATTCATTTTTCTGGTGATGCTACGACTGCAGAACTTTAACTAAAGTCCGTAATCTCTCAAGAGCTTTCCATTTAGCTCATGGCACATTTTGGCTCATGAACGTTTCTTAACTCGGCAGTGGGAGCATTTCGATAGTAAGAAGAAAATACCTGAAGGCTTCAAATTTAATACAAATGTGCAGTCCTGTGCAAGCATTTGCACATCTAGTTAAATTAGCCTTCAATTAAACCACAGGACGTAACTTTTGCTCTTATTGTGGTCACTTGCAATTGTTAAGGTTAGTGAAAAAAATCTAGTGAAAAATGAAATGCTTCAGCATCAGGAATTTCAGTCCCTCTGAGTGACTGCAGTTTAGGGCTTAGAGCTTCAATTGAGTTACTGCAGTTTAACAGGCTACCATGCATCAGCTAAGCTGCAGAAACACTCCGTGTGTGTCCTCTTCGCCTTTGACAAATGTAAGGTGATTTGACTTAGCTTAATCTATTTTCATTGCAGGCTAAATTGAATTACCTCATATTTATGATGGGCTATAAGGGCACTCAAAGAGAGTTATCTAGGTTCAACTGATCTCTGGTAACTTGCTTAGCCATGGTCGCTTGGCTGTGGGTGTAAACCCTGAGCCACCTTGTGCTCATAGGAGAAAGCTGACGTGAACTTCAGCAGACATAGATTTATAACTCCCGATGAAGTAGTTTGGGATGTGGTCAGCCATTGACGGAATGGCTGGAATTGGCTTTTAAAGGAATAGAGTTGTTGGCAGGACACCTTCTTAATGTGTTTTTGATGCTGGACCTGAGTTGTCTTCCCTGGTCATCAGAACCTGTATTAGTTTGAACCACAGAGGCACAGAGGCTTGTCTGCCTTACCTTTCTTCCTCAGGTTCTTTAGGCAGACATTTGGGATAGAGCTGGGCTGATAGCTTTAACTCCCTATGGGTTTTCTGTGAGGCTGCTTTGGTAGAGTCAATTAGTTTTAAATTTGGTTGTTCTGCCATAACCTAAGTATTCTTAACTGAATTGTAAATTTAAATGTTAAGTGTTGCACTGAATGTTTAAATAATTCTAAAAGCACTTGGAGCATGGGATAAGTGCTGTAAAAATCTAAATAAATGAGTAAATTAGTTAACAGCATATGTGATAATGCAAACTACTACATGTGTGCAAAGAGGCAGAGCTGTGCTTGAAATGGTTGCCAGAGCTTAGATTTCCTTGCTACATGTGAAACCTTTTCACATTAGCAGGCTGCTTTGTTTATTTATTTATTTTAAAGCATTTACCTGCTGTATAACTGGAGAAGAAGATGAAGCTGGCAGTTTAGACTGTCAAACCGAGGTTTCAGCTCAGCAGTGAGGTTCAAAGAGATTAATCTGAACTCAGCTGTTTACGTTACTGATCTCGTACCAGCTGGGTTTGTGGCATTAAGACGTCAATAGTACAACAGAATTTAACTAACAGTTTCATCACTGACATCATCTTTGAAGGTACAGATGATTGCCTCCTTATGTATTGGGACATATTTCTTCAAGACAGGACTCTGCTTTCATGTGGGAGGGAGAGGAAGGAGAGAGAAGAGGTGAGGGAGTCTTTAAGTGAAGTTAATTAGAAAATGTCCTAATACATATGTGGCTTATTTAAGCTGGTTACAAGAAAAAGGAGCCCATTTCCTCATGGTAAGAATAGACTTATTTTTTCTTTTCCTCCATTCTTTCAGCTGGCACCAAAACAGAATAAGATAATAATAAACTGCCCTACATGCAGTAGCAGTATTATTTTTAATGGTTCAACCTTGAATGGAGTAGAGAAGACTCTTGGAAGGGCAGAAGTTGATAATGGAGTTTCTTCAAATCGCTCCCCCTCCCCCAACTCTATACAATAATTATTAATCAAAGGTAGGTGGACTGTCGTTCAGTGAGGCTCTTCTGGTAGTTCCCTTGATCCAACATAGGCTCTGTGTGATATTTGGAGTTGGTGAAGATGTCATTGACCTGGCAGGCTGACCACCAGTGTTCTTCTAAAAGGGCAAAAAAAAAAAAAAAAAAAAAAAAGATGAGAATACTGAAAAGAAACAAAAGTACATCTGGTTTAAGGATTTGAGAGACCATTTAAATGAAGGGAAGATTTTACTAATAAAGCAGAGTTTCAGTCTGTTCTACATACAGAATCAGTCTCTTGTTGAACAGGCTTTGCTACCATGCTCTGGAGTTGGGGGGCATGCAGGTAGAGGTGTAGATGATTGACTTTCAGGGAAAACAAGGAAGCCAATGTCCAAATGTGAAACGGCTTTCTTTACAGAATAATGATACAGCAGATTTTGACTTAGGTGTCCCCTGAAAGCCTTTTCATCCTCTGCTGTAGTGGCTGCTGTACCCCCACGGAACACTGCGTCTTTGAAGGAATTCACAGCGTAATCCTTTGGTTCGGCGTGCATTGTCCCTTAATGACAGACATTAAGTACCATCAATGAAAGCTGTTTTAAATAGGCTGCAGATGCATTTGGACAGTGGCTCCCTAAGTGGCACTTTGTTGGAGGGAGAGGGGGTAATCCTCCTACTGCTGCTTCTCCAGGTAGAGTGGAGCCAGCAGAAGAGGGGGTTCCTGTTTCTACAGCATTTTCACCTCACCTGGGATTTAGCGCTACATGAAGACCTGTTCAGCAGAAGGAAATGCTTTCCGACTACGACCTCTGAACGGTTTAATTGGGATTTAACTGTTCCTATTTTTTCCACTCCATGTGGGAGTCTGGAGCTCTGTTTACAAGGTGTGTCATATCCTCTCAACCCCCGAGTCCTTCTCCCCCCTCCTTTCATTTTATGTTCTGGACAAATAGGCAGAAAGATACTTTAAAAGTGAATGCACGCAGAAAAATCCACAATTACCATCCCAGATTTTGCTGTGAAAACTTTACAACAGCCATACTGAAAAATCTTCCCCTACCCCTCCTACTCCTTCTAAGAGAACGAAAAAATCCATCAAATTAACACATCAATGAGTTGATTGTAATCTCCAGGGTTCAGTGTAGCACTTTCTAGCCTCTCAGACAGGAGGCCAGCATGATTTATCAATGCAAACCTAATAGCATCAATATGAATCTAACTAAAAATCAATATTTCATTACCAAATTGTTAGTGAGAATGAAGAAAAATTGCCAGAGTCAGAGCATTCTCTAGGGTAGGAGCATCTGGAGTTCAATGTGACAAGATGAGTGATGCATGACTCGGGGCCTGGGGAAGGACACTGGGAGGACAGGCCACTACGTAAGGCGAAGACTCATGAAGAAAGCACTTACTTTTTTTTTTTACTTTTTTTTTTTTAAAGCTTTCTCTAAGAAGAAAGGAAATGTCTGAGAAGGAAAAATGGAAGGCACACTGCTGTTTACTAAAACTGATGCAAAGTAGGTCAAACAACTGAAACAAACAGACCAATCTCTGCTATGGACACCTACCCAGAACTGGTTTTCATGGGAAACAAATGAGGAAAATATAGTCAGTGGTCCAGATCTTGATTTCAGATACAAATGGTAGAAATTTATAATAGATTACAAAGTGGGAACAATTTTGTTTCCTGTCCCATAGTGCTGAAAGTGGATTTGGTCACTTTATTCTGGGTTTTATGAAATTTCAGATTCGTGGTGCATTTCTGTAGATTGCAATGTAGAAAATGTACAAATCTGCTCATCCAGGAGGCAGCAATACTTGAAACAATGTATTTGCTTAAGAGTGTACTTGAGCAATTAATGTATTTTTTATTTAAGGAAACAGAGCAAGAACTGCATGGAACTATGCCAAAATTAGATTCAAAGCATAACTTTATATTGCATTAAGTCATAGGTCTATTCTGGCAGCACGGGAAAAGTCTGCATACAGAAATGTGGAAAATGAATGAGAAAAACACTGAAATGTAACTTTGAATTGAGTTTCTTTGACCATTTTGTTTTACTCAACTTCAGAGTGCATTAGCACGTTGATAACAGATTGAAACTTTTGTGTCTTGGTACTCTTTGATCACTTGGGACATCTGAAAGTTATTTGAATATATAGCAGCGCCTGTACTATTGAGCATTTGTCTTTTTAGGTTGGGAATGTCCATGTCTTTTGGACTCTCAGTGTTCAAATTTTTGTACAACTTGTAGTCTTCTGAGGGAGAAAAGTAGGTGGCTTTCTCTGAGCTTTAAATCCAGTAGCTCTGGAGTCAGGTTATGGGTGATCCTCTCAGATCTCAGCTGTCAAAGGAAAGAATATGTTATGTCTTGAATTGGGAAATGGTGGTCAAAAAATGCATTCTGAATGCTTGAAAACCGGAAAGATTTTTTTTTTTCCCAAACTACTTTAAAAAGGAAAAATATAGTAGTTAATCTTTTATTTATTTACTTATTTGTTTCATTTAACGGAAAGCTGCAGTTAACAGTTCTGAGATTTCTGTCCTCAATTGACTAAGTCTGCTCCATATGGCTCAGGTAAAGTCAATCTTGCTTTCTTTTTTTTTCTTTTTTTTTTCTTTTTTCCCCCCTCTCATATTTTGGGAGAATTGGAAGTGGGGAGAGAATTTCCAGGCTCACTGAACTTACTGCTCAGAACAAATTTTGTTCAAGTCCCCACGTTTGTAATTCTGGCAGCCTGTGATACATCAGTAATCTCTAATTCCCTTACTCCCTAAGAACTGTCATTATTTTATGTATTGACTAATACAGTTGTCTCAGGGTAAATTTCTCCTGAAATCGAAGTTTACTTCTTGCATTAGAAGTGAAGCCTACTCCCTTTTATAACTGACAGATTTCTTTTATAACTTTGCATTTATTGAAGGCAGTCAAACCAGAAATGTCTGGGATTTTTGTTTGTTTAGTTTTATGATTTTGTTTTCAATAAGGTATTAACTGTACTACAAACAGAGCAAATAGGAAGGTCAAATACCTATTTGTTGATTTCAAGATTTTTCTGGAAGATGAGACCTGAAGGTATCGGTAAATAAAAAATTCAGAGTCTTTGTAAACAGGAACGCCTTGAAAGCACCAATGCCAGCAAAAGCTTCTGCTTTGCTTCTATGAAGATTTTATGTAGCCCCAACTAATGAATGCACAGAGTGTTTTATATGAATTTAAAGATATTCTAATAAACACTGTAAAACACAAGAAAGCAAACATAAGCATACATGTATTATTGGTGGAAAAATTGAGACTATAATTTAGATTCAGATAGCAAATGGAGACAAACGTAAGATAGAAGTCATTGAGAGGTTTTTTTTATTTATTAAGAATTTTCATTGTTATTAATTTATATGCCTCACTTTTTGTAGGTTCTGTTCTTATATACGTTGAAATTTTACTTGAACTGAGTCTGAAACTGAGTGACATCTTTGCTGCTAGTGAACAGGTTGAAAATAGAAGACAAGATTCAATCAGACAGACTAATTAGGGTACCCAGTCAGGATGGAGTCTTGAATATTCACTACACATTTTTTGGAAACACAGTACTGTGCAAATCTTTGCAGACTGATTGATAACATCTGCCAGCCAATCATCCTTAGTGATCGGTGAAAACAACTAAAACAATTAGAAATCTAACATCTATAACAGTTTCAGGAACTGCTTAATTAAAAAAAATAAAATAATCAGCTCTTATAAATGATCTTGCAGCCACAACCATGTAATGTCTTGATTGGAAGACTGAACATCATAGCAGTATTTTGCATAATCATTTGCTTCTGTATTGCAAGGGTAAAATGCCTTTGGAGCTCAGATCTCAGAGGCTGAGCAGTAATGGGGTATAGAAGAGGACAGCATGAGAACAGAAGAAAAACACTTCTGCTAGAATGAAATATCTTCTGGGTGTTCTAGGCATAAAAAAAAAAAAAAAAAAAAAAAAAAGTAGAGCAATGCCAATTTCCTAGGTGTATTGCCAACTAGGAGGTCCTGTTGGTATGCTGCAGCCAGACAGACAGTGGGCTTTTGGAGGAAACCATTTTACATGTGCCTCTTTGCTGCTCAAATTCTTCATTTCCAGCATCTGGGAAGGCAGAAGAGCACATGCTATTTTTGAATTCGTGTGCTGGTATTAGCAATGCGTGGTGACATGGCAACCCACTAAACAGACAGCATCGTATTTTCTCATTACGTTTATCTTCTGCCTACCTTCAGCCTTTTTGACACAAGTGTATAGGCCAAGCATATAAGAAGAATGATCTCCAATTCTTTCACTGGTTTCAAAACAGCCCAGCTATGACTGTGGTCACTCTCTCCAGAGACAACTGAACACCTGATATTTTTGTTTGTGTGGATGTGCGTAGAAACTAAATACTAGGCTGGCAAGGTGGAGTGATTGGAAAGGTGTATTGCTTTTTCAGTTACAACTGCTTGAAATTTGGGGGACAGATAGCTTTGGTTGAGATTTTGCCTTCAGACTGAACAAACAAATCTAATATCAGAAAATGTACAGGAGTACTCATAAAAAAATAATGGCTAATCACAGGCATTGATTACAGACATGCTGTGCAAGGCATAACTTGTAGTCCTCCTACTCATTCAGCACTTGTTATCTGCTGTCATACTTTCTGCAAACGAAAGCTGGGTTCCATTCAACCATTCTGTTAACATTCTTTGCCTTCAGTCCTCAATACTTGATGGAAATTAAATGAACATTCTGGTTTCTAATGATTCAGTGGACAGCTGGACTGCATGATCTTAGATGTCTTTTCCAACCTTGGTGATTCTAAAACTCTATGCTTCTATATGCTTTTAGCTCCTTGAAAGCAGTTCTTGCATTGTTCACTCTTGCTTTTTAAATCTTTCTCTCACTTAAATCCTATTCTTCTCCCCATCTGTTCCTTCCAACCTTTTGAGTTTTTTATTTTATACTTTTAAGCTCATGTCTAGTTTTGACCTTCTTGTTGATTTATTAGTATTTTATTTTGATTTCTGGATTATAACCAGTAACAACTATGGCTCTCCAACTTGACTTCTCAGTATTGCCTTGGAAGCAGTTAAGCAATAGGCCAGTGAGAAAGCTTATTCCCTATAATGGATATACTTCATGGTATACTTGATATGAGAGTCCTTGATAGAACACTTTTACAGTAGGAGTAGCTTGTTAGTAACTAGACAACCGTGTTCTGTGCATTGTAAACACTTCTGCTCACTGCCAAATTTCAATTTGCTTGTAAAGAAATTAGAAAGAAATATCCACCCAGGTCTAATAAGGCAGTTATTCATCTCTTTAGGGGGAAAAGAAAAAGATGGAAAAAAGAAAGTTATTAGAATAGCTGATACTTTTGACATTTTATGTGTTTATTTGTGTATCTGCAAGGCTTGTGTGTAAAATAGACACCTGTTAAATATATGGTGTGACTGGTAGTAAAAGTGGATTCTTTTCACAGGTTTGTTCTTTACAATCAAGGAGACTGAAGAATTTTGCCATTTATGTAACACAGCATAAATTGTTTCACAGTAAATCTGCTTAGCAACTTTATTTATGGAAGAATGACGTGCATTTTCTATGACACCTAATACTTTGGGTTTTCATTTTGACAAAATTGTGGTTTTACTCCCCTCTACCTCAATTATTTATATTCAAGATTCATTTAGCAGTTTGTCTAAAAGGTAAGTTCCAATAGAATTGTGTTATAGTATAGAATTTTGTGTTTCTAGCATTAAAGTGTAGTATTTCCAGGCAATGCTTTTTATTTATCCTTTTCCTTTGCACTGTCAGATGCGATGTAGCATGATAGTTGTCCTTTTTAAAAGTATTTAATTGCTAGTATAGTGAATTTGTCATGAAAAATCAGAACACTTACTGTTTTGGCTCCAGACACTTTTCTCTCCAGTTTAGACATGCAAGCATGATTCCAGATCCCCTCTCCATTGGTGCATAGTAGGTTTATTATTTGTATTATAGCAAGACTCAAAGTTCATATTTAGGGGTTAGTTGGGCTTAGCGTGGAGAAAAAAATGAAAAAGAAAAGCATTATTTCTTAATCTCCCTTGCTTCTGACCTGGGGAAATTATTTCCCTCTTACTCATGTACTTCTTAGTTAATGCTGAACAAGGTGTTGTGCTTGAAATACTGCTTTGTGAACTTCCACCTAATGTGGAAGGACGAACTAACTCTAGTGACTGCTTTTCCAGCATTCTAAAGGTTCTCTTCTTCCTGTCCTCTTCATAGGTAACTGGCTGATGAGTACGTGCGCAGCTGTGTGAATCTGGTTGGATGTTCACTTGTCTTTTCTTTCTATCTCTGTGCTTTTTGGCAAGTTTCTCTTTGGGGTTAGTCACTGAAGAAGTGAGCAGTACCGTTGTGGTGGTTGTGAGCTCATGTTCTTGAGTGTTGTGTTAAACTTGGCTGGGTTATTTGCTCTTTTGACATCAGATAGCCTCTCAAGGCTTTATGAAGGTCTCTAGTCACTTGCCAGCTCATCATTGGTACTTTATATACTTATCAGTAGGGATGCCTTATCTTCTGGAGAACTGAAGGAACTGAGTTCTCTCTGAGAAGATTTAGGAAGATTTTCCAAGTTACTTGGAGCTCCAGGTGGAGGCCGTAGTAGAAACACTGTGATGAGAAAATCCTCTGACCACTCTGGCAGGGGATTCTTTCCTTCTACCTTATTCAAGTCTTGCAGTTTTTTTTAATTTTCTTTTGTTTTCCTGTATTTTTAAATATTTAAAATATTTACTGAGATAGACCCAATCTATCTGATATAGACTCACCCACAAAGTCTTTTCTAAAAAAAAAACCCACGAAACAACAAAAATAAAACAAGACAGGG